CACACACACACACACTCACTCACATACACACACACACACACACACACACACACTCACTCTAACACACACACACACACTCACACACACACACACCCTTGGTTTTGGTGTTTGTGGTTAAATCCGTTGTGACACATAAGGTCACGCGGGTCAGCAGGGGTCAGGAAGAGGCTGACCTCATGACAGCTGGCAGGACGCCCATGTAAACTCTGCATTGAACAAACCCCTGCAGCATGTCTGATGTCACAGTGATGATGAACTGGCTCCAGACGAGGTTGTGATGCTGAAATACTCCTACAGAGGGCAGAGGTTACGAACAATGTCTGGACGGATGGTTTTAACTATGTAACTGTTTTATGGTTGGCTAAAGATGTTAGTGATGTGTAAGTTTGCATTTAGTGCATAATTTGTTTTAATGAATATGCATTTGACATCAGATTGAAATTTGACTCAGATTGTTTATTGAATAGAGATTATGTACTATTATCATTCAAAAGTTTGGGGTTGGTAAGATTTATTAATGTTTAAAAAGGGGTATCTTATCCTCACCGAGGCTGGATTTATTTAATCAAAAATAGAGTAAAAATTGTGAAATATTATTGCAATTTAAAATAGCTGTTCTCTGTGTGAATATCTGTTAAACTGTAATGTATTTCTGTGATGCGCAGCTGTATTTTCAGCATCATTACTCCAGTCTTCAGTGTCACATGATCTTCAGAAATCAGTATAATATGCTGATTTGCTGCTCAACAAACATTTCTGATTATTATCAATGTTGAAAACAGTTGTGCTGCACAATATTTTTGTGGAAACAGCATTTATTTGAAGTAAAAATATTTTGTTACATTATAAATGTATTTACTGTCACTTTTTATCAATATAATGCATCTTTGCTGAAAATGATTAATTTCATTAATAAAAATCTCAAAGTTCTGAACGGTAACACAAGTCGTCAAATAAAGCTTGCGCATTCATAATAAAACGTGCCGCAGACGGCTCCGGGGGATGAATAAAGGCTCCCTGTAGCGAATCCATGAGTTTTTGTAAGAAAAATATCCATATTTCAAACGTAATAAACACTTTTCTCTCAC